CTTCCATGTTAGTTTCAGGGAGTGTATGTGTTTAAATACCTTTAGTGACCTTGATTGATTGGGTCATCTACCCTATAAAGTTGATGGCATGCTCCCGCGCAATTCGCAGAATTCGGTGGCACACGTGCCTTCTCGCCACGAAGCGCCCATGAGGCCTGGTTATGGGAGAAGGTTCGACGCTGGAAATCTCAACCAGCACCACCCTGAAGGGTGGTGATTGGATGGAAACTCCACGTGGTCAAGGAGCTATGAGTCTATAGGCCCTATAGGCCTGACGCATTCTTTTTCCTGGATGCCAGTCACAAGTATGGAGGAAATCCCATGATTGCACAAGTTTTGCTGGCTGTTTGAAGGTATACAGTAATTATCATGAGTATACATGTATGGATGCAGACAAGGATGTCTCGAAGCTGAGAATCCATCTAAAGCAGCTTCATCCCATCACCCCAGGGCCACCAAAGCACCAAAAAGGCACAAAAGCCTTTGACAGCATCTCATCTTGCGGGTGCGTGCTGTGCCATGGGCCCAAAACGAACCGCGAACAGCTGAAACATTTCCTTTTGGAAAACCACCCACAAAATCCTAGCTCTGCATTCCTTGATATTGACCAACTGGGCATGCGCGACAGGTCGTGGGTCGTGATTTCTCGCCAAGGGCTCGCCCCCTCAGCCAGGCCACATGTTCTAAGGCTCGCCCCTGGCTGGCTCGCACAGCCGCGAGCACCAGCGGAAAGTCATTTCGGGCACCTGGCGTTCCAAGGGGAACGTGGTCGCAACATCATGGGAGGCCTCCAAAAATAGAAGGACCCAAAGCAAGAATGGAATATAAACGATAATTCCTCGGTCTGCCTCAACAAAGTATTTGGAAGACCAACTTTGGATTTGGTGTCCAAAAACCTTGACATGACATGATTGTGTGGTTCTCAAGCATCATAGTGACTGTTCCTGATGAGGGCTGGGGGTGTTGCCTACAATAGGCCCATGCAAGATGGAAAATCGAAATCACTGGAAGCAAGCAGAATGGCCTAAGGTGGCATAGTACAAAAAACAATATAGTGCAGCCTAGCACAACCATGCACAACCCTAGTCACTCATTCAGTTCATCTAAGACTTGCTTCCGGGCCTTCATCCAAATCCTGTAGCTCTACTTCACCACGCTCGATCTCGTCCAGGAGTCCTGACACGGCCCACGAGCTGGGGCGCCAAGGCCACTGTTCACGAGCTTTCTGGGCTTTCACGGGTGGGACTTCCAGGGCCTCTTTTCCAGAACTCATCTGTCAAAACGAGGTGTTTCTCTCAAGACATGAATGCATTGCATACCACCTTCAGTGAAGTCCAATGAACTGCCCCACGATGAATCCATCAGACCAGTGAACTTTCTCACGGGGCTCAATGGATGGATTGCAAAAGTTCAGGATCACAAGGTCTCCCTGGTGCCTCCAGGGCCCGATCCCTGTCGAACAGAATCCGATTTCTGGAGGGTCAGTCAGGCCGCGCATGTGGAGGTTCAGGACATTGCCAGGTATAGGAAAGGGCAAGTACATGTTAATTATTTGATAGACACATCCCTGGCGTAAGTTCTTGGATTAAGACGATATAAGAAGATTAAAGCCGCTGGAGCAGTCTGCTACAATCCCTATGGCCCGTCTGCAGGCAGTTATGGATATCAAAGCGGTCCTGCCCATACCGGCAGGGAGCGCACCAAAAGGAGCTGCGGCGGCCCATCACACAGGAGGTCGGCAAGCAAATCATCGTCCTGGCCCACCTGGAGATTTGAGAAGTTTGGGGTGGGTTCAACAGTGTCTATGCGGACCTAGGACATCATGGCCTAACAAAAGTACAAGGTCCCCGGGATACCCACCGACCTCGAGCCGGGAGCAGAATGGAAAAAGAGGCAAGCCCAAGAAGCAAGCCCCAAGGCCTTGCCACTGGAAAAGCGGGTGAAAGACATGGTGAAAACATGTGAAAATTGAAGGTGACACTACCCTATTTCCATGATGTTCCTGGTGCACTGGTATGCGTGCAAAATGGTACGAAGATGCAATTAGTGATGCAATAATACGCAATATGTCAATATATGTGCCAATGGGTGAAGGTTTAGCTTCTTGTTACTACTAGTAAGGCACTTGTTCCTAGTAGCGATGCACTTGTTCCTAGTAGCGATGCACT